GGGAAAGCGCGGCCTTTCTCCCCTGCAAAGGGGACACCGCGCCCCGAGTCACTGGGGAGCGCCGACACCGAGAGGCACGAACGCCGGTACCCACACTGCCCGCCTCCCCGGGGAGAAGTCAGTCGAGGAGGTAACGCTAAAGCCGGGATCAGCGTTAGTCTCGTCCCTCTGCACTCAAGTCCTCACTGATCTGCCAAAGCTCCAGTCAGAATTGGACCCTACAACAGCAAAACTGCGCAAGTGCCCTGTGCCTTTCAGACGGCCAAAACAAAGCCCTGCCCCGGGTTAACCGAGTACCCAAGGCCTGGCATCCCGCGTTAACGAACAAAACCTGGCTTAGCACAGCCTAGGCATAACCCTAACACAGAGTCTTCCCACCCTCGGCACCTAACCAAGCAGTCTGCCACACCACCCCTACACTGGCAGTCCTTCACAGACGTCAAGGCAATCACGCTTTGTAAACCAGGCACTTCTGAGAATAAGCCCACTAAAACAGAATTCTGAATGTTAGGGGAATTCACACCAAAATGCGTCATGGCTGCAGGTAAACACTTCTGTGATGCCCTCCATTCCCCCTTTTTCCATTAAGGATTTTGATTTTACAACACTGCATCCATTACGGAAGGGCACATATTTACACAAACGTGCTAGAAAGTCAAGGCAGCACAATTAGCAGCCTGAAATCAAGGTCCAGAGCCACCAGCAGAGCAGAATTCCATACTGCCTGCTGCCTACTACAGCCTGTAACTTCACCAGGGCTGCTTCTCAGTTTAACTTAACAAGTCATGCCTTTGCTGTTAGGATGGAGAAAATGGGCAAAACAAGAGCAACGTTACAAAGGCCAGCACCCCTTTGAAGGTTTCCTGGCAACAGAAATTTATGCTGCAGGAGATCATCTCAGACACACACAACTAAAGAAAATACATTTTTAAGACACTTGAAAAATGTGCATCTAAGCAGTAACATAAGCAGGTCTGTAGGAGAAGACCATGGAGGATTTTTTTTCCTTTTAAATAGAAGAATGAACTCAGGCTGGGAAAAAAAATAAAATAAAAAAAAGGATTAAACACATTCGCTGTACAGAGAAACTGCTTAAATGCAGAATTCTGCAAATACGGAAGAACGTAAGATTGTGATACTTCTAGCAGTTTATAAAGGAGAGGTATGGACAGAGGCAAAAGGGAAACTTTAACCCCATTGTGTTGGGTGACGTAGAGTTAATTTTCTTACGGGGCTAATTTTGGATCTGTACTGAAAGCAGGACGGATAACACAGGGATGCTTTCACTGCTGCTGAGCCGTGCTTGGACAGAGACAAGGCCTTTTCTGCCTCTCACCCCACCTCACCAGTGAGGACGTGGGGGTGGGGGACGGACGGGGATGGACCCAGCCGTGACAGCTGACCCCAACTGACCCCAGGGATATCCCATACCATGAGATGTCATGCTCAGCACAGAAAGCTGGGGGAAGGAGGAGGAAGGGACAGACACACACACACACTCAGAACAATGGCGTTTGTCTTCCCAAGTCACCATCACACATGATGGAGCCCTGCGTTCCTGGGGATGGCTGAGCACCTGCCTGCCCATGGGAAGGAGTGAAGGAATTCCTTGTTCTGCTTTGCCTGCGCGCACAGCATTTGCTTTACCTATTAAACTGTCTTTCTCTCAACCCACGAGTTTTCTCATTTTTACTCTTTGGATTCTCTCCCCCATCCAACCAGGGGGGAGTGAGTGAGTGGCTGTGTGGGGCTTAGCTGCCAGCTGGGATTAAACCACAACATCCATACACGAGGTAAGGTTGGCACGGTGGAAGGGAAACACCCCAAATGCTGGCAACAGCAGGTTTGGAGAGAATAAAGGTTCAGAGGAATTAGGAGAGAGAGGTGAAAAATCATGAAGAGATGGTATTCTTTTTTTAAGGGTCACATTCAGCCATTCTCTAAAACAGCTTCACATTACAGTTCTCTTCTGGAAGAGAAACTTTTTCCTTGCACAGGAAAAAGCCAAGGCTAACAGCCAAGTGCTTTCATGTTTCATATAGCAAATGGGAAGTAAAGGGAAGAAGGGCATCAAGGCGGCATTCATCTAGCTATGAATGGGGGGTGCAGCTCAACAAAGGACCTGGGGTGCCAGGGGAGGGCCACCAGCTCTGTATGTGCACACACCTGTGTCTCTCCCATCACCTGGGGCAGAGGGGTACAGGACATTGGGGAACCAAGGTAGTCCCAGCCAGCTGAGAGACTGTGTGAAACAGTACCTGGAGCAGGGCTAGGGCTGTGGCCTCTGGGACTTCAGCAGCCAGCAACTGGGGAGACTGGAATCCAGGAACCAGCTGCGGGGCAGACCGAGTGTCTAAGCCCAGCTGCTGAACAGGATCTACCTTGTACATATATACATGTGTGTGTATCAAAATATACATACACACACTCTCACTTGCAGACCTCCATCCTGCTCAGGGAAGGAGTGGAGCAGGGTAAGGCTGTCGCTGCTGCTTGTGTTCCTGTGAGCATCCGTGTGTCTGCCTGATCTGTGTGGCCAGACATATATATGTCTGCATATGTGTGCTCTATGTGCTTGTGCCTCCTGGGAATACATTTTCAGCCTTACTCGTTACACCTGGGGGCACAGAGCTGCAGCAGCCTCAAGCTGCAGCACCCTCAACAAATTCAATCAGAAATAGTTACACCAATTAGAAAACTAAAACATGTTGTCCAAGATCAGTTGTTAATAGTCATTTTATACCTACAGCAATCACGTGTTGGGTATAGCGGTCACCAAGTTTTAGGGTCACAGGGTACCCTGACACTATTTTGTATAAAGCAGTATATTTCTGAACAGTGAGAATACAGAAATAAGTCTTTTTTTTCTTCAGCAAGAGGGTCATTCGTATGACTAAGAGCAGCCACACAGAACTGAAGAGCAGACAGTGCCACGTTCATGGCCCACAAGCCACATGCTCCAGTGATGGTAAGAGAAACACCACGAGAGTCTGCTGACATTTCTAGGGATTTTGCTAACATTTTACCTAACACAGGTAGAAATCCTTGCCTGCAGCAGAAGTGGAACCTCTAGTTTATCAAGAGAACAGATTCACCAGCAGAAGTCACAGCAGTACCACAGATTCCCACCAGCTTAAGTAACCCGGTTCTGAGCAGCTTATAGCTGACAAGGAACAGGAGTACTGCAATAAAGAACTACATCCCATTTAGATCAGTACAAACACCAGTTTTACAGCCTTGTTTGGGCTAAACACCAACTGGCAGCAAAGAAGTGAACTGGTTTGCACCAACTAAACACTGCCCTCCCTGATCAGAGGGAGTTACCTTATACTAACCAGTACTGTGATGGTCATATTTGAAACACTGAAGGTCACTACCAAGAAGTATCCTCTTCCCCAAAATGCTTCCAGACATATTCCCTGATTTGCAGCACGTTTGAAGTATCGACTACAGTCTTTACAAACTG